AAGGGAGAGAGAGAGAGAGAAAGAAGAAAGGGAGAGAGAGAGAGAGAAGAAAGAGAGTGAGAGAGAGAGAGAGAGAAGTGAACGGAGCAGTTGCTGTAGACCCAAATTTTGCTCTGAATGCTGGTAGAGAGAAAGAGAGACGGAGGTAGAGAAGAGAGAGAGAGAGAGGTTCCGCCTATTGTGCCCGTTGCTTTCACACTGTCTGCTAACGGCGGACGTCCCGAATCCGCAACAAGTTCTCGCCGCCGGGGCCTTCATCTGCTGTTCCACTTGATCCATCCGACGCTCCATCTGTGCCTGGGGCAAAAAGCGCAAATGGAGGAGGGTCCAAAACATACAAGAACTTGATGTCTTTGATCGTTTAAAGCAGGTTTCAATCAGCAGTATTTGAATTTATGTTCAAAAAAGTCTCAAGAATTCCAAACTTCCGTTCAAACCGCACAAAAACTCCAACATATTGAAACACTTCCCGGGTCGAGGTTAGTAGTAGTATATGCAAGTGTAGCAACCAAGCAATGTCAGGAAGGGTTTTTTCTATGCTGAAACTGCTTTTTGCGCCTTGGATTCCCGTGTGTCAGTGGCCAACGCCTCAGACAAAGCAGGAGGCCGACAGGTCCGGCGTTACTAATGTTCGTCAGCCAACAACATCCGGACATGCATCTGCGGGTTGCTAATCTAAAAGCAACTTGACACATAATTTGACCTAGCCTGTTCGTTTCTTTCTTGTAACAAACAATCGAAGATGAGTTTTGCACCTCTCGTTTTTGAACTTCTGCTTGGAGGTGTTTGACCTCTTCATCAAGCCTGCGTGCAGCAACTGGCCGGTCATGGACTGGCCAAACATAACAATGAAAGAGAAAACGCCGGCGAAACGTGTAAATCGGCAGAATCCTAGTATTTAGCACAGAAGTGTGCATCCACGCAGGAACACCAACATCCTTCCAAACTTCCCAACCTCGTCGATACAGCCCTGGTCTCATCCTTGTTGGCCTAAACCAAAACAACAGTTGACCCCATCCGATTCCCCATGCGTCCACTGCGACGTTTCATGAGACATCAACACTTTGTGAACCAACCTTCTGAGCTTCCTGGATCAAGTTTTGGAGTTGGCCACCAATTTTGTCGGTTTTCTCTTCGACATCCTTGCAGCGTGCTCAAAGTTGGAAGGCGCACAAAATGCACAGGCTATGGCGCGTCCTTTGAGGTCAGAGTAATCTTCTTGAGTGCGTCAAACTCCTGGTGGAGTGCATCCATCTGTTTTGTCGTTGCAGTTCTCTCGGACTCCTGCAACACTCAAAATTGTTGTGCCCAGCAACTATTGAACTTTGAGCCACTCTACTTCGAGCACCCCCCACCCGCCCGGTTTTGCCCCTACAGCCCGAAAGTTCACACGCCCCTTCGCTCAGACACTCAGGTGGTACTGTAGCCGGAGCGTTAAGCGCTACATCGGAGCTTGCCCATGCCCAAGAGCCATATACACCGGCAATTGATGGCCCCAGCGTTCACACGCCCTTCCGTTTAAAATCGTTTAAAGTAGCCACCTGGAAACATTACCTTGGCGCTACTAGGTCCAACGCGTCCGACGATAGCGCCCGCTTTCACAAGCCGGCGCACTAAGCAATGCATCAAAGTGTAACGCTGGTGCTGGTAGGGGGTTGCGCATGCTGGAACACCAAGAGCCGCGCTGGCACACAAGAAAATTGGAGGATTAAACCATGAACGGGCTAAACCATTAAGCCAGTCGCGGTCGCACAAACCCTGAAGCTCCTCTTCAACAAGCGCGCAGCTGCACCATTCCTGATTTCATCTTCCAAAAATCCCACCTACATCAACCCTCAAATTCCTCTTGCTAGGAAGCCATGGCTTCCCCAATCCTGAATTTCCAGACCCAAAGACCTGGAGGAGTACTCCAGGTTTGTGCATGGTGTGGAATTGCTGCTTCTTCACGCTATCCTTGCAAGTAGGGAAGCAGCCCTGGCTGCACGGGACGGGTCCTGAAAAGCATGGTCCAAGAAAGCACCCTATTGCCACAAGGCTGCAGTTACGCAAGCCTTCGAGAATCTTTACGCTTTTGTTCAATGAAGCAGCGGTTTCACCGTTCCACCGTAATCGTCAAATCCTCTTCACAGAAACTGCAGCTGCGCACGTCCACTCGTCATCGCACGTTTGTTGCCAGTGTCACAGTTTCTTGCTGGTTGTCGTGATTGTCATTAGACGGATCCCTGCAGCAACAAAGGTGACGACCGGGTGGATGTCTATTCTGAAAAATCTAGCAATCCCATTCCTGTCGGGTGTGGGAAAACACACAACACTTTCCAGGGATTCAAGGGTCCATGTCAGCACTCGTTTTTTGGATGAGCTCTCTCAAATCTTTCAATTCCTTTTGGGCGGCCTGGCGCGGTCTTTTGGCACGTTCAAAGTATAACGACCGATCTGAACTGAACAACACTTGTGTCACATGACAAGTATACCAGCTCCGCTCACGTTGAAAAGAAAGCCCTCACTTTCTTTGAGCGTCACAATATCACACGTCGACGTTTTCAACGTAAAGTCCCATGTTGGGAGGCAAATCACCGGCGCAATCGGGTTGTCAGGATATTCAGCGAGAGGGCGGTGTCTGTCAGCTCACCTTGCCTGTTGCTTTGGACTTCCTTTCACTATATACAAGTACAGGCAATGCTGCGTGAAAAATCAGCACCCTACAATGCCCAAGTCGAGTGCAAAACCACAGCAGTGACAAAACAGAAAGGCAACATAGAGGACACACAAAAACGTCCGGCAAACAAATCGCGTTGCCTCATACTCTTGTTTCAAGTGAGCCCCAGCAGAGGCCTTCATCAGGGGTGGGCCATGACCATACACGCATGCGACAAGCGAGAGATATGTATCATTGGCAAATGCAACTGTCGCCTCACAAGGGACGGCCTTGAAACTGTCCACGCGAGTTATAGGTCTTTCAATGTGAATAAGCGGTGAACATGCATCTTGAGTGTACACAGTGTACACTTACACCTCCTAAAGCGGGAAACAAGTCACTGCATTTTGGTTTGCAGGTTCCTGCCTCCTCCCCTGGGCCTGCAACGCTTGATGGCCCTGATGCTGCAACACTTGATGCCTGCTCCGAATTCTCTCTCACCAAACAAAGCGCAAGGACAGTGAAATCAATTTGCCCCTGACTAGTTCGGCTGAAACTGGCTGCCAAGATATTCATCAACAAGCTACGCAGTGGTGCTTGTCAGTTCATCTTGCCTGCTGCTTTGGACTTCCTTTCGCCTGTTACAATGCTATGTGAAAAATCCGAAAAATCCGCACCCTGCAATTGATGTCCAAACCACAGCAACGACGAAACAGGGAGGCTAGCAACGAATTTGAACAATAGAAGGGGAGCGTTTGAACTTGGAGGACACAGGAAACCAAGCAACTACCAAATCGGCCTGCCCCATATACGATTATATCAAGTGAGCCCCAGCAGGGGTCCTTGAATATCAGGCACGGTAGAATGCACTGTCCACACGACAACTTGACCTTTAGCATGAATATGTGGTGAACATGAATACACCTCTAAAGCAGGGAAACGATCACTGCATTTTGGTTTGCAGGTTTCTTCGGCTGCAGTTCTCTGTAGGCCAGCGCAGCGAGGCACGAACAAATATTGTTCTGACAAAGTCGCTAGGGACCTGATTGGAACAATGGGAAGCAACATGCTCAGTCTGCGCACGCGCGGACAAGCGCCTTAGAGAGCTCTAGCTTAAGTCCGGGGAAGCGCGGACCGCGCACCATCGCCATTGAAAGCGCAAAGTCCGTCTGGGCGCGCAGGGACGTGCGCACGTGCGCAACCTCACTCTGGGCACGCACGGGCCTCGTGCTGATCTGCACACCATAGAGTGAACCAGAGCGCGCGCACGACCTGCAGACCGCAAAGATCTCCAGCCACGTGTGGGTGGGCCCATCCTGCACACCGTGCAGAATGCCAGAAGGTATGCCACGCATAGAGAAAATATATACCACTTACTATACCACTTAGAATGCCAGGAGATGTGCCAGAAAGTGTGCTAGAATATACATGCCAGAAAAATGCAAAAAGATGCGCCAGCTAGAACGCCAGAAGATATGCCTGAAAAACTGTTATAAGATATGCCAGATAGAACGCCAGAAAGGATGTCAGAAGATGTGCCAGGTGGAATGTCAGAAGATATGCCAGCCAGAAAAATGCCAGGTAGTGCCAGGTAGTTAAGGATTTCCAAAGATATGCAAGTTCAAACACCAGAGGATATGCCAGCTGGAGTGCCAGAAGGCATACCAGAATATGTCAGCGTGGTGGCAGTCAGAAAAATGTTGGTATACATGGTGCCAGAAAACATAACAGAGCCGAAGACCATATATGACAACACATGTCAGAGCACACGCCAGCTTGGCGCGAGAGCCCATGTCAGAAGTACATGCCAAAGATGTCATGCAGAACAATTGTCAGAACTCACGGCAGGACAAATGTCAGAGCGCGTGGCATGGACGTCTCCAGAGCATGTTCCAGTCTTTATGAAAGATGATGTGTCAGAACACATACCAGACTTGACAGGCAGCGTTTATCAGGATAGTCTGTCAATACATGTGCCCTGCCTTCTTCCAAATCGCTTCTCAGGGTGGGGACCACTCGAAGTAAAGTCATTTTGCACCCAGCCACATCATCTGGACGTCAGCATTGGCAGAATGATTTCACTCACAATTTCATGATTCATGCGCTCTCTGATCCCCTTTTGGAATGGAGTTGTCAGAATTTATGGACTAGAACAGAATTAGCAGGTTGAAAGGAAGCTTTTCTACAAAACAATAGAACTAAAAAAACCTTGTTGAGCTATCATAGCCGTAGCCATGACATGAACAAACGGCTGTGCCCTGACCCCAACAGTACTTGCTGGTGACAGCCGCACCCGCGCCGTTATGTGCCCGATGGGTCTTCTGATTACAAACACGGCCCACCCCCTAATAAGAGAAACTCGGCCGCATTTTTTCTAATAGGGGGTCCCTGAAATCGGGGGGGTCCAAAATAGGGTCACCTGGGAAGAGCTTCAAAACCAAAAAGACTACCAAAAAAGTAACCCATAAAAAATTTAGTATAAAGTCTTTTATTAAGCTCGTATCAAAAATTCAAAAACCTCCAGATCGAAGGGTCTTCCTCTTCCCCTACAAAAACCTTTATTAGAATACTGATTCATTCGACTGACAACCAAAGCTTTCGAAAGGTGATGTCGCTGTGCCATGCGGTTTTGCACGACCTCGGTGGCAAGTGCGTTTGCGTGAGTCCGTGCCATTGGAGGAAGGAACACCTGCTGGTGTAAACGCAGCGTGTCATGGTGGATACACAGGGCGGACAGATGTGGGCAGTTACGGTTGTTTTTGGAACCTAATAAAAGAAACTACCCCCAAAATCGACCATGTTGGTAGTTTAGTAGCGGTTTGTAAGGGCTGCAATTCAAAAACACATACAAACCGAATTTAGGGTTTCGGACGTGGTGTTTTTTAAATTGGTGAGTGTTTACTAACAGAAAGGCACGCTGTGGGGGCCTGCGTTTTCCAGTGTTTCTAAAAAAATATTGTTTTCAATGAAATGAAATCACTTTACTTATATATATATATATTGTTTTTCCTATATGTTAATGTGTAAAATATTAAAAAACAACATATGTGTGCAACAATAACCAAAGCTTATGTGCCACACAATGTAGGCAAGGAACAAGGACGTCTCAATCTGAAGGTGGAAGAGAAGGATCTCTGGGGGGGGAAAGCAAAAAAAACATCAAGAGCATTTGGCAAAGGCTGGGAGGGGGGGTCGAGCAAAAAACAATATATTGTTTGTTTTAATACAGAGCATTTGGCAAAGGCTGGGAGGGGGGGGGTCGGGCAAAACAAAGAAATTGCTCGACCCCCCCCAGATCCAGATTAGGAGTCTCAGGAAAAGGCTAGGAGGGAGGATTGACCGAATGGTCGACCCTCCCTCTAAACAACTAAAACCAGTTCAGGAGTTAACAATTAGGTATATCAAAGAGCTTCTTTTGCAGCACCATTTGTTGAAATATATAAAGCATACTTTAAACTGAAGCATGCTGGTATTACAGTAAAGTGTGTGAAGATTGATTTTTTCACCATCAAGGCTGAAGATCAAAAGAACCCAAGTGAGTGGGCTTTATCAATAAGATTGGAGTCTGGAGAGTGAGCAAGTATGTGGAT